TGCATCAGGTATTCTTGAGCCAAACATGCATGAAGCAATTGTAGTTTCCATCTATAAGAAGGGAGACTCCAGTCTCTTGGAAAACTACCGGCCAATCTCTTTATTGCAGACATTCTACAAAATCATTGCCGCTCTAATAAAAACACGGCTTACTGAAGGACTGGATGACTGGGTATCAGAAACTCAATATGGTTTCAGAGTATCCCGAAGCACAAGTCATGCAATTTTCTTGGCGCGTAGACTGCAGGATCTTGCTGAAAAAAGTGGGAACAACATCGCCGTTATCATGTTAGATTGGGAAAAAGCATTCGATAAAATAGACCACGGCCGACTGTTAGAAGCCCTCACTCGCATAGGAGTTCCAGACAGGATATTTGACATGATACAGAATATTTACACAAACCCAAAGTTCAAAGTAAGGAACACTGAAGGGGAATCTGATTTGATGATACAAAATGCCGGAATAAGACAAGGATGCCCCCTGTCACCATATCTGTTCATCCTTGTCATGTCAGTTCTTTGTCGAGACATAAAACATGAATTAAACACCCCGAAGCAAAAAGAACCTATACCAGGTATTTTCTTCTCAGAAGTTCTCTATGCGGATGATACACTTATATTTGGAAATCATACGGCTTCCACCAACAAACTTCTAGCTTCCATAGAAAGGGGATCTTGGTATTACAACATGAAGCTCAATTACAGCAAATGTGTAAACCTAACTACCAACAGACGCACGTCAACAATCAAATTTCGTGATGGATCAAAAGTGCCAAGGAAAAGCCGTGCTACTTACTTAGGCTCATTGTTGACGGACACAGTAGATAACACAGCGGAAGTGAATAACCGAATTGCAATGGCAATCAAGACTGCTCGACAACTCAAAATTTTCTGGGACAAAGCGAGGACAACGACAGCTTGGAAACTACAAGTATTCAACGCTATCGTACAGTCAAGAGTGACATACGGCTTAGAATCCATCCAATTAACCCAGGCCGAACTAACCAAGTTGGATGCGTTCCAGATGAAAAACCTTAGACGCACTCTCAAGATAGCACCAACACACATAGACAGAACACAAACTAACCAAAAAGTCTGGGACAAAGTAGCTCAATATGAGGT